CCACACTGATTGTCGTTCATTTCACAACTGGGCTTGTATATATCAGTCTCACTCTAAGACATTTCCACAGAGTCAAGTAGGGCTGTTGAAAAACAGGACATGTTGTTGTGTTTGTATACCTTGCCAAGGCCTGATGGAGGTTGTATAATTTATTAATAACATTTGATTAAATGATTGATACAAGCTTACCATCACTGGAGCCAGGAAGTCTCTCTTGAGGTCACTTGGCTGGTGTTTCCTTACCATTCCGTCTGGGGGCTATTCCCTGTAGATTTAGTGGTAGATTTAGGCCTGGTGTGTGTGGTCATAGCTTGTCTAAATGATTGTTTATGTTGGTTTTCATAGAAGCAAATGGTATTCGTGGGAATCCAGTGGTGTTACACTTCATTCAGTGTCAGCCAGATTGCTTGATGAAGTTGTAAGTGTCACAGTTAATTTTTGTTGTGCGAAACAAAGGCAAAATAACTTCCAAATTTAGTTTTATGGCGGCTGTGATTCATGGCTTTCTGCTGTTACTGCCGCACATCTGTATAAAGTTTGTTAGATTTTAATGGTCATTAGCGAGAAGTTTTCCCAACGACAAATGACATTTATTGGAAAATGTGTGTTATATAAAAAATATCTTCTCCATTGTATCACCTGACCTGCTTTGTCTGGGAAAACCGCAACAGAAATTGTCGTTTTATGACATCCTAGCAAACATGAAAACGATGACACATTCCCAGTTGAGAATAAATTAATATTGTTTTAATTAACTTTTCTCCATATGACTTTAATTAAGGTCCAGGAAAAGACCCTCCAGCAGATGAATTCGTTAACTAGAACAATAATAAGCTGTGGCGAAAACAACTTTTATGACTTTTTTTCATGACAATTTTTGTTAATTGTACTAGTTCCTTGTCCTGTTAAGAGAGTTTATCCCCACTGCTGATTATAAATCTCTCAGCTGTGGGGACCTAAATGTTGGATTTGAAATCAATTAATTTGAAGGCGTAATAGATCAGTGCTCCCTGACAACTTGTAATTATTTGTAGCCGATAAACGGAGATGACAAGTGCCTATATACTGTAGTAAAACCACAGAACATCATACTAACTCAATCATGCTGACATTATGGGATGTTGCCTGGCATATTTGTGAAACTTGTGGCATTTGTAACATTTCCCTGTGTTCCACAACCAGGTTTCCTATGTGTGGATGTGTTTAGCCTGGGAGTATATACATGCATACAAAGGATGTTGTTCTATGTGTAGGATTCGTTAATCCAGAACTCTGTAAACTGGACAGTGTCACTATATCAGTACTGTCCAGATTAACAAGGCTTCAATGTAAACCACCCTTTGTTGTCCTAAACCATTAATCATGATTTAATTGTTTATTTAGAAATTTAATGTTTACTTAAGTTAGTTCAGTATAAACTATCAAAGCCTTCTTCTCTTTTTCCATGAACAAATTCCAAGAGTCTTCTATGTTGATATAGGAAAGATATAAGACTATATCGGACATACCTATCAACAAACTTAATAAATATTTAAGCTCCAGCACCAGTTTGTGTTTATGTGTCTAGCCCAATCTATTGCCACCTATATAACTGTCCCTTCTTCATCTCGATGCTGCTGCCACTGTTCTCATCTTCAAACTTCAAAAAGCTCAAGACAAGATATTGCCAGGAAACCATATGAAGTGAACCAATTTTGACACCATACATTACCAATTGCCAGAAGTCTTCAACTATGTATGCCTCACATGTAATACAATATGGAAATTGGCAGTAAGTGGGTTATCCAATGCTTTAATGGGCTCCCCATGCTGGGGTGACTGTGGCGGTTCCTGAGAGGTGGTTTGGTAACGGCATCACCCATGTTGTCATTGTCTGTGTCATACCAGAAATGAGGTATTACGTCTCCTACTTATAAGTGCTACCCTCCAAATGTTCTCAGTTTGCCTGTGTAAAATATGCCATCATGTTCCTCGAGTCATATTTCAAAGTCAGTATTAAAGATGGAAATTGCTGGGATGAAGTGTCTACCAAGTGTCTACCACCAGCCATGCTTATTGAAGAGAGTATGTCAAAAAAACAACTGGTTTATAATTTTCAAGATTAAACTGATACACATTTCTACTGGTGATGGATCTTGGGTCTAATTAGAACCAGAATGTTTTTTAAGTATCAATTTGATACTTTTTCTGGTGAAAAGCTTTCCGTTCCTGTAGAAATATGAGATAATATATATATATTTTTGACTTGGTAAAGAATAAAATTACTCAAGTGAAGTGTGTATATAGCAATAAACCAGAAAATGTTTTATAAGGTTTTTTAATAACTTTTGGATATATTTTCTTTGTATAAGAATAAATATACATATGAGTATGAATTATTGAGATGAATTTATTACCAAGGAAAGTATTGCTGAACAATATAAATTGTTACTGCTTAAGTAGATATTGTTTGTTTTTAAAGTCATCAAGCTAATAAAATAGATGAGGCAGGATTCAGATCATTTGTGACACGTTCCATCTGTAAAGTATTAATAGGTCTACTTTTCAAATTGATTTTCTTGTCAATATTTAATAGTAGTTGTACTTTCTTCTGTGACTGTTTTGCATTTTGCTCACAGGAAAGGTCAAAGGAAGAAATGTTGTCAACAGAATTTTTGTATTTGAAAAGAAAATTAAGGTTTGGTGAAGAAATTTCTGAGTCAAAGATAGAGAGAAACAACTCTTAGTGGATAGAAGCTATTTAGGGATGTGGAAACATCAGCCAGTGTTGGCTTCAAAGTGAGTCATGGCACAAGATATCGTTATGATGTGTAAATAGCTCCAACAATCAGGCTGAGACTTTAACCACACACCCAGAATTAATTTTTGAAATGTGATCTGTGAATATGACTGGGCAGGGTTCTGGTAGACCTTGCCTCATTGTCAGCCATAGGTAGGTCTATTGTTACCCACAATCCATCTGTCTCTTGACCAGATGGTCCCAGTGGTCAAGTGTGTTTGGAGAGCCAGAATGATGGTGTGACCTGACCTTCATGTGTGTTTTATCTAGATTGGAGGGTAGAGATGAAATACATTTTTGAGCTGTTTGACAAAGTCGGAGCATTCTGAGCATGTACATGTTTTCATGTATTTATCGGAAGATAAATTTTTGCTTTTTAGGAGTTTGAATTATGTGTGAGAAAAGTTTCTGAAAAATGCTTTGTTATTGTCATTACTTTCAACATTCTGAGCCAGCAGATGCACTGCTCTATAGCATTGTTTGCAGTCTTCTAATATTACCGTTGGACAATTTCAAAGAATGCAATCACGTTTCCAAAATGTATATGGCTAATACAAGATAGTTTTCAATTTTCTTTGTCTGGAAAGTTAATAACAGATTGAGAAAGCAGAGACCTTTGACATCAATTTAGCTGTGAAGAGCAAGTAATGTTAAAGTCGTGTTTAATACTTGCTCAGGGGGTGGCATCACACACAAGAACAGTCTTGAACCATTAGGAACGTGTTCCCAAACAACCCTGATCACTTGCCTCTTGTCAAAGTATTGTGACACGACACACTGTTGGGGTCACTCGCGGACAATACACCCGCACTCACACCGTGCCTCAAAGACTTGATTGTCAAATACATGCATATTAGCAGAAAGGACAAAGACAATTCTTCCTAACCAGGGGGAATTAGTGCTTCTTACTGTTCAGGACTTTCCCAGATAACAATCTACTTATTTCCTGTCCATGGGCAAAACGTCTCTCCTCTGAATCTGATTAATGTGAAATAGTTCCAGCCAAACTTCCAACTTTGCTGATTTGACTGGCCTGAGTGTAGAATCTCATTTGGGCATTTGTTTCTATTCATCAACTGTCAGCTTTGTACCTCCTTATCATAGAGAGTTCTAAAAGGGTAGCAACTTATGTTAAGGTCTTGAGTGAAGAGCCATATATTAATCTCACTCCCTCCCACGTTTAATTGCGACAGTCTAACAGCTATGATTGCGAGGGAGATTTGTCACTGGAAGAAATTAAAATACTTTCATGGCTGCAAGTATGAGATAATGGGATGTTTAGTTTGTTTTCTGGTTGGCCACCTTGCAGTATGTATAAGAAGCACATATGCCATGTGCTGGAGAATATTTGGAATCTGTTTTGTCAGTGTAGTGAATTCGAAGAAAATTGTTATCTCTAGATGATTAGAGTAAATTTGTTTTTTCAGTTTAGTGTATTCATAGAGACATTTTGTGTAAAGATGAGACCTTTGGGTCTTACATTTTCACTGGTGTTTGGTGGCTTTATGGTTTTATGAGATAATGATTATCTCTAGTGTTGACAATGTCACATTTTGTATGGTCTGGATGAAGTGATGGTTTGAGGTTAGTGGTTGGTGGTTGTATTGACTGTGATGGGTAGATAGGTGGTTGTATTGACTGTGATGGGTAATTGGGTGGTTGTATTGACTGTGATGGGTAGTTAGGTGGTTGTATTGACTGTGATGGGTAGTTAGGTGGTTGTATTGACTGTGATGGGTAGTTAGGTGGTTGTATTGACTGTGATGGGTAGTTAGGTGGTTGTATTGACTGTGATGGGTAGTTAGGTGGTTGTATTGACTGTGATGGGTAGTTGGGTGGTTGTATTGACTGTGATGGGTAGTTAGGTGGTTGTATTGACTGTGATGGGTAGTTGGGTGGTTGTATTGACTGTGATGGGTAGTTGGGTGGTTGTATTGACTGTGATGGGTAGTTACGTGGTTGTATTGACTGTGATGGGTAGTTAGGTGGTTGTATTGACTGTGATGGGTAGTTAGGTGGTTGTATTGACTGTGATGGGTAGTTGGGTGGTTGTTTTGACTGTGATGGGGAGTTGGGTGGTTGTATTGACTGTGATGGGTAGTTAGGTGGTTGTATTGACTGTGATGGGTAGTTAGGTGGTTGTATTGACTGTGATGGGTAGTTAGGTGGTTGTATTGACTGTGATGGGTAGTTAGGTGGTTGTATTGACTGTGATGGGTAGTTAGATGGTTGTTTTGACTGATGGGTAGTTAGGTGGTTGTATTGACTGTGATGGGTAGTTAGGTGGTTGTATTGACTGTGATGGGTAGTTAGGTGGTTGTATTGACTGTGATGGGTAGTTAGGTGGTTGTATTGACTGTGATGGGTAGTAAGGTGGTGGTATTGACTGTGATGGGTAGTTAGGTGGTGGTATTGACTGTGATGGGTAGTTAGGTGGTTGTATTGACTGTGATGGGTAGTTAGGTGGTTGTATTGACTGTGATGGGTAGTTAGGTGGTTGTATTGACTGTGATGGGTAGTTAGGTGGTTGTATTGACTGTGATCGGTAGTTAGGTGGTTGTTTTGACTGTGATGGGTAGTTAGGTGGTTGTATTGACTGTGATGGGTAGTTGGGTGGTTGTATTGACTGTGATGGGTAGTTGGGTGGTTGTATTGACTGTGATGGGTAGTTGGGTGGTTGTATTGGCTGTGATGGGTAGTTGGGTGGTTGTATTGGCTGTGATGGGTAGTTAGATGGGTGTATTGACTGTGATGGGTAGTTAGGTGGGTGTATTGACTGTGATAGGTAGTTGGGTGGTTGTATTGGCTGTGATGGGTAGTTAGGTGGTTGTATTGACTGTGATGGGGTGTTGGGAGTTTGATAGTGGTATAAACCATGCTCCACCCCTCTTTTCATCATTCAAATCCAAGCAGTTCTATACTCCATTGCTTCTTTCCAGTTGGCAATATGATCTTAGCATGACGTAGCTACTTGTCCAGAGAGGACATCAGGTTCCAGTTCTCAATCTTCCCTGTTTCCCTCTCTGTCACTAAGACAGTATGTCAAAGATTTTTTTCCCCCCAGAACCAAACATAATTTTTTTCATTCTTTCACTAACAGACTCCGTGTCTGAGCAGCACCACAGTGGTATTGTCTAGCCATGGAGTACAGGAAGACTAAGATGGTGTGACATTTACTTCAGACACCATGATAGAATTCCACTTAGGTCAGCCCCACCCATCCTGAGAATGCTGAGACAGGGAGGTGGTTCCACAGCCTGCCTCTTGCCTGGTGAGAGTGATTGGCCAAGACATGAAACAGGATGAATAGTTCTTGGCTCATCTCTTTGTGACCTGAAAGATTTAGTGTTTCACATGATATGGAAGAATGTGCGAACTATCAACCACAGGTTTGCCAGTCCTGGCAACACATTCCTGGTTTGCCAGTCCTGGCAACACATTCCTGGTTTGCCAGTCCTGGCGACACATTCCTGGTTTGCCAGTCCTGGCGACATTTCCTGGTTTGCCAGTCCTGGCGACACTTTCCTGGTTTGCCAATCCTGGTTTGCCAGACCTGGTTTGCCATGCCTGGCGACACTTTCCTGGTTTGCCAGTCCTGGCGACACTTTCCTGGTTTGCCAGTCCTGGCGACACTTTCCTGGTTTGCCAATCCTGGTTTGCCATGCCTGGCGACACTTTCCTGGTTTGCCAGTCCTGGCGACACTTTCATGGTTTGCCAGTCCTGGCGCCATTTTCCTGGTTTGCCTAGCCTGGCAACACTTTCCTGGTTTGCCAGTCCTGGTGACACTTTCATGGTTTGCCAGTCCTGGTGACACTTTCATGGTTTGCCAGGCCTGGTTTGCCAGTCTTGGTGACACTTTCCTGGTGGCCAGGCCTGGCAACACTTTCCTGGTTTGTCAGTCCTGGTGAAACATCACAGTTTTTGTTTTAATACCAAAGTGTAGAATTCTACATGAACTTCCTTATGTCTGAGGTGGTTGAAAACTATTTGTCTGTGGCCATGGGGCAGTACAACATAAAGATCAGTTAGCATAGGGTAATGTTGCTTATGCTAGGTCAGGGCTGATGAATCAGACAGTGTGGCCCCTGTCAATCTTTCATCACTCAGCTTCTTAGAAGTATTGGATCCTTGTCTATGGATGGCTTTGTGATACATTTTTCATAATTACATTGCTGCAAAACTACAAAAATATAGGCATTTCCAACAAGTTTCTTGCATTGAGTTCTCCACACTGTTTGACTTGTAGATGAATTTTTGATGAGCTGTCTTCATGACTACCCTTTCTTCTACTGATCTATATTGTTTCATTGTGGACAACCGATGCTTGCTCTGCCATCGGGATGGAGATGTATGCATACCTACATGTGGAACTAGGATGAATCATGGCACTTTCAAGAGGAAGCTCCACGTTTGGGAAATATGAAACTCATATTCTCAGAATTGAAATGAATTTCTAATCCATCTATTTGACAGAGCAAGACATCAACATGCAAAAATCATGAAACAAGCCATTTGGGGAATGTTTTTATTTGTGAATACCATCTTACATTCAAGGACGTTTCTGGTTGTAGATCAAGAAGTCAGAAACCTATTGAAGAAAGCAATTTACGAAGGAGGATTCATTTTCTTGTATGAATATTGTAATACTTGTGTTTCTTCAGCTGGCCTAATGTAATTTGTACTAGGGAAATATCGCCATATTTATCTGTTCTTATTTTCATTCACTATGACTTTATGAATTATGTGAAAACTTGTTAGGAAAATAATATCTCCATAAAGTGAATTTCTTTCTCAATTGCTCTCTCTCCCAGATGGGGTATCAATAACCAACTTGGCAGTGATATCGGCAGTAGTTTGTGTATGTATGGTGAAGGGCAGGTGACCCATGTGTTAGGCACATGGTTGGACATGATAATGTGACAAGGAAACACGGCTATCCTGTGTTTACACAATCTCCTTCTGTCCTTTTAGCTCAATTAATACCACTTAGGACAACTTGCCCAGAAAATATGAACCATACTTCGCTCGGTTCCAGTATTTTTGAAAGTAAAACTACTGTCCCTTTGTTGGAAGTGGAAATTCAAAATGGTGGAAAGCCACATATGGCGGACATCACGAGGAGCAATATCAAAGCTACCTTTGGTTTGGGGAAGTCTTTCATGTTGTTTAATTTGCTCAGAGCTGTAGAGTTCCATAGTTGCTGAATTTTGGAATTTTACCAACTTGTTTGAATCCGGAAGTGTTCAACCTGTTCCTGCTTCCCCGTTATTCTTGTGTTGGCCAGACATATGTGTCGTCTTTAGCATGGTCTGTTGATTGATGAGGAAACAGATTGAAAGTGGCATATTTTGTGTCCCTTACGCATACTTTCTATGTTATGTGTAGTGGAAATTCAACTGGGTCTGAATGAGGCAACGTGTCCATCTGTTTGTTAAGTGGGAATATCATCAACCTCAGTTCCGGTGTGGTTATTTAATAGGAGGATTACACTGAATAAAGGGATAATTTTTTCCAGCCCTATTTGGAAAACCAGAAGACTATGTATTCACATATTCAAACTGGGTGTCCCTTCAGTCAAAGAAATATGTTGTCTTTTAAATAGTACAGAAATTTCTGCATCCTCCAATACATTAAGGTTTATAGACTAATGCTTAGCCTCTAAGAGTATATATTGAGAGACACAACAACTATATTTATGTTGAAAAGAGAACCAGTGAGACCTGTGGTAAATCTAGACTTGCTTCTTGTAGAGCTCTAGCATAACAGAAGGGGATTGGCAGAAAGGGAAATAAGATGGTTCCAGGGACTGTGAAATCAATGAAAATCTAATTTCTACTGCCATTACTTTCAAACAATCATGTATTACAACAAAAAAAATAGATCTATGCTCTTGTGTCCAAATATTGACATATCTTTCAGATTTACCTATTTATTAGAGGGATAGTGAACCATTGAAGAATAATTGCGTGAGTGAGTGAGTGAAAATGTAAGTTAAGATTAACATTGTTTCAGCGATAATACGACTTGACTGTTTGAAACAATATTGGTATGTATGATAAAAATATAGAATAACGTCTGTCCTATTTAAGTAATTGATGTTTGTAAACGGGTGTTTATGTGACTTCCGTGAACAGGAACAGTAAATTCCAGATATGTTATTGTTCATTGTTAATTGTGAGATCTGTCAGACACGGAACAGTCCTGTGATTCAGGGTCCTGTCTGTAGTAAAACCACGTGAAACAAATAGTTTGCTGAAGACTGCATTACAAGTAATGAGTAATGAGTAATGATAGGTGGCTATCTGGTGAGGGACATATTGCCTGTAATTGTGGCAGGGAGTCTGATGGTGCTGTGGCCAGGTTTTCATTGCTGGGTAGGATTTAACAGTTCAACCACCCACTACTGCTGTAAATTACCGTGGAGTTGTTCTCCCCATGTATTAATCAACATCACCCCTCTTTACCCATCTGCCGGTCCAATCAGGGCAGCACATATTACCATTTCTATAATTTTCCCAATGTTTATGATTCTGTTGATCATTGCTGTGGGTTTTACATGATCTGATACTGCTTTTTTTATGATGTTCCCTGCCGAACCAATGATAGCAAAGATTTGTGATAGATAGTGTTTGGTAAAAAAAACCTCTCAGGATTGAAGAATATCAAAAAAATGTGAAAGGTTTTGTTTTGTTGAAACAATGGAGAAATGTTTTATTATGATTTAATGCAAATTTAGCATAATGAAATGTATGATTATCATGAGCGTTGAATAAAATAAAATTTAAGGCTGCCTTAAGGAATAAGAAGTATACATAGTACAAGGTCTTATTAAGAAGGTTGTAGTTGAGGTTAGAAGAAGCCAGGTTTAACACTGCTTTCTAGATTATTGCACTCACATAGCAAAGTGCACGTGTGTGGCTGGTTCTCCTTGTCTGGACTAATGCCGGTTTTATAGTGTTATCACACTGAGATACCATGCTGCAGTTTAACATGAATACCATATTCAGACAGAGGAAACTGACTCCGAGCCAACCAGTCCTTGTTTTAAGCCCTTTTGCCCAGTGCAAGCAGGTTAACAAGAAGTGCCATCTTCATTGTCTCTTGATATGACACGGCCGGGAATGGAACCCCTGATCCGCCACTCTCCAGGCTGACACTATCCACTACACCTCTGTTTAAGAATGTTCTAGCCGAGCCTTACTGAGTTAATTTTACATTGAACTGTGTGTCCGTGTGTCAGTTTGATGTCGGCAGATCTTGGATCATTACCTCTTTGGGGAAATCCATATGCACGGCCCATAAGAAGAAGAAAACTTAATATTAGAAGAAATGAATCTGAAAAGAGAAGATAGTAGATGGTTAGAGGAAGAACAGGGATTAGACTGATTCACAGATAAAACAAAATTTCTGAGACAAAACAGGAATTTCATTCTGAACGAGACATGCAGCTGCTGATGACTTGACCAGAGTTCCTGGACTTGATGTCAGCTGCACCTGGGGAAGTGTGGCGGTGGTGGTCAAATGGTCATCTGGACACACTAGCCCAGCAAGAGCCAGTTGTAAAACATAAATCCTTAAGTGGCATGAGGGTAGTATGGTCATTTGCTGCCCCCCAGGATTAAGTGCAGGGTTGTTAGGTGCTGCCCGTCCAGCGGTCAACTGGCCGGGACTAATGACAACACCATGTCTCTTTCCCAGAATCATATGGGTTTCACTTCCACTTGGCGGCCATTTGTCAGTAACTGAAACGCTGGGTTTATTTTTATTTGTTGTAACTGTCTGGAAGTTGGTGAACAGAATATGAAATAAAGTCATGTTTATATCTGCAACAAGTTGGGAAACATGGCATGAAATAAATTCAGGTTTATATCTGCAATAAGTTGGGAAACAGAATA